GAGCAGTAATGTGCATGCGTGTATCTGCATTTAACGTTTGCCTCCGCGGACATAGATGTGTGCATGAGTCAAGTGGCCCAGGCCGTCCGGAGGTGTTGCCTGAACAAATCAAGTTGCATGACAATCTTTGATATCGCACATCGCGTTCCTTCATGTGTCGCCTTTTGGTGCCCACACGTGAGTCCAGCCACAAAGGATTAGTGCATGTATCTGGGCGCGGGGTGGTCACGATTGTTTGATTTTGATTGCTCTCAATATTTCAGTTCGGTGTGGCAGCATCTCCTAGATGTCCCAAATCACTCAGCATTCCCCCTGCAGTGCGACCAGGAGCGTTACCGAGCCATTACTAGCTCGCATTACCGCCGCGCGGTGGCAAGGGTTGTGCTGCTTCAGCGACGGGGCAGAGGTGCAAGAAGTGGTGCTGCTGAGTGAACCCCACAGTGGTAACAGAGAATCCCTCGCCTCTTCCCTGTCTCCAGCGCGATGATCTCGCAGAACATCCGAGTGCGTCGAGTTGGTCCGCCAGGGCAGACCATAAAAAAGATGTGGTGCGCTGCTTGGCTCTTGCGCGCGTGCGATCTCACCTGCCTGCGCACGCCACGGCTTCCTCGGCCCTGGAGGCGGGAGCGCAGCAGCGGCATCCGCCACCCAGGACTGGGGGCCACCGTTCTCTGTCCTGACACAGCGCCCTCCCCCCCTCCCCCTCCCCCTCCCCCTCCCTCCCCCCCACCCACGCGCACACGCGCACGCGCACAGGCGCACAGGCGCACCGGTGCACAGGCGCACACGCGCACACGCGCACGCGCGCACACGCGCACGCGCGCACGCGCGCACGCGCGCACACGCGCACAAACGCACACGCGCACACACGCACCCACACATCACACACCACACACACGCACACCACACACACCGCACACACCACACACACCACACTCACACGACACACACACACACATCACACACACGACACACACACACACCACAAACCACGCACAACAAACACACCACACACCAAACACACCACACACCACACACCACACACACACCCTACACACCACACACACACCACAGATACACACGCCCCCCCCCCCTCACACACACACACCACACACACCCCTCCCCCCCCCCGCCCCCCCCACACACACACACACCATACACACACATCCGACGCCCATCCCCCCTCCCCCCCACACACACGCACACACACACACGCACGCACGCACGCACACACACACATACACATACACATACACGTACATGCACACATACACATTCACATACACATACACATACACATACACATATACATAGCACATAACACATACACTTACACTTACAAATACACAAACACATACGCATGCACATACACATACGCATACACATACGCATACACATATACACTCATACACATACACACATACACATACACATACACACATACACACATACACACATACACACATACACACATACACGCAAACACACATACACATATTTTCACATACACACATACACACATACACACATACACATACACACATACACACATACACACATACACACATACACACATACACACATACACACATGCAGATACACACATACACCCATACACACATACACACATGCACACATACGCACATACACACATGCACACATAACCACATACACCCATACACACATACACACATACACACATACACACATACACACATACACACGTAAATACATACATCCATACATACATACATACATACATACATACATACATACATACGCACACACACGCACGCACGCACACACGCACGCACGCACGCACGCACGCACGCACGCGCGCACACACCCACACACACATTCGCATTCACATTCACATTCACAGTCACATTCACATTCACATTCCCATTCACATTCACACGCACACGCGCACACACACACACACACACACGCACACGCGCACGCGCACGCGCACGCGCGCACGCGCACGCGCACGCACACGTGCACACACCTACGCAACGCACACGACGCACACGCACACGCCACCGCACACGCACACACACGCACACACACGCACACGCCACACGCACACGCACACGCACACGCACACGCACACGCACACGCACACGCGCACGCGCACGCGCACGCGCACGCGCAGCACACGCACACGCACACGCACACGCACACGCACACGCACACGCACACGCACACGCACCACGCACACGCGCACGCGCACGCGCACACGCACGCGCACGCGCACGCGCACGCGCACGCGCACGCGCACGCGCACGCGCACGCGCACGCGCACGCGCGCACGCGCACACGCACACGCACACGCACACGCACACGCACACGCACACGCACACGCACACGCACACGCACACGCCCACGCCCACCTGCACGCGCACGCGCACGCGCGCGCGCACGCGCACCACCCACACATAGCACACATAGCACACACCACCCACACACATACCCCACACACACACAACACAAACCACACACACACCCCTCACACACCCCCCACACACACACACCCCACACACATCCCACACACACACACACCCTACACACATCCAACACACAAACACCCCACAGACCCCCCCCCCACACACAAACCCCCTACACACACTGCAGACACCCCACACACACCACACAAACACACGGACCCCCCCCCCCCCCACACACACACACACCACAAACACACCACGCACACCACACCACACACACACACACTGCAGAAACCACACCCACAACACACATACACACACCGCACGCACACCACACATAACACACACCGCACACCACGCACACAATACACAACACACACAACACGCACACACTAGCAGCACACAACACACAAAACACCACACACACCACAGCACACACCACACAACACATCACACGCGTACAACACACAACACACACAACACAGACCACACAACATACACACAACACACAACACACAACACACACACACACTCCACACACACAATACACACAGCACGCACACACAGCACTTACAACAACACGCACACACAACACACACCACACAGCACACAACACACACAACACAACACACAACTCACACATCACACAGCACACAGCACACAGTACACAACACACACAGCACACACGCAACACACAACACACGCAACACGCACTAGACACAACCACACAACACGAAACCACGCACACCACACCACATGCGCAACATACACAACACACAAGACACACACAGTACACGCACCACCCACGACACTCAGCACACACAGCACACACACAACGACGCACCACACAATCACAACACACTACCACAACACACCAACACATTACACCAACACAACACGCCAGCACAACACACCAGCATACCACACGACCACAACACACGAACACACACAAGACATCACACCAACACAACACACTCAACAAACACAACACACGCAACCTACATCACACACATCACATAACACAGAACGCCTTCACAACAAACAACTCGCACATCACACAACATACAACACACATTACACACAACACACGCAACACACAACACACACACACAACACACGACACACACACGACACACCACACAAAACATACAACACACACAGCAAACACCTCACACACCACACACACATCACACACGATGTGCACAACACACACCACACACAACAACCACAACCCACATCACGCACCACACAACACAACACACGCACACACCACACAACACACACAACACATCACACAACACACAACACACAGCACACACACAACACACAACACACACACAACACACACCACACACAACACACGACACACACAACACCCACACAACACTCACAGCACACGCACACAACACACACAACACACAAGCACCACACACACAGAACACACAGAACACACACAGCACACAGCACACACACGACACACACACCACACACAACACACACCACACACACCACACAAAACACACGCAACACACCACACACGAAACGCACGCAACACAACCCACACGCACAACACACAGTACACACAGTACACACGCGCCACACATAACAGACACCACAGACAACGCACAACATACACAACATACACAACACACAAACAGCACACACCATGCACGCAACACACACAACACGCACAACACACAGCACACAACACACACAACACACACAAATCACACGAACCACACACAACACACAGCACACACAACACAACACACACAACACACGCTCCACACATAACACACACAACACACACACAACACACACACAACACACACACACAACACACAGCACAAGCACAATACACACCACACAGCAAATACATGCAACACACAAGGCACAACACACAACATACACAACACACAACACACACAACACGCACGACTCATTCAACACTCAACAGACAACCCACGAAGCATAACACACACAACACACACGACACACAAAGCACACACACACACCACACACACAACACACAGCACACAAACAACGCACACCACACACACCACACACAACACACACACAACACACTCGCACGCACACTACGAACACACAACAGACATCACACAGCACACACAACGCACACAACACACAACACACAGACACACAACACACGCAACACACGCAACACACAACACACACACATATCACACACAACACACACAACACACAACATACATAACACACAGCACAAACCACACACACATACACACGCAAGCACGCACGCACGCACGCTCTCACGCACACGCACACGTACACAGCACACACAACATGCATAATACCCACGCAAGACACAACACACACGCACACACACAGACACACGCACACACAGACAGACACACACAGACACACACAAACAGACACACACACAGGCACACACACAATGACACACAAAGTCACGCAGACACACAGACACACAGGCACACAGACACACATACACACTTTCTTGAATTGCATGATGTTCGTCTTTCGTGTTCTTCCTCAAGCGCCAATAGGATGCAAGGCAACTCCTTTCCGAAACGGGGCCCTCGTCAACATTGCAGGCGATTATGGCGTTGGTCTTTCAAGAGGGGCACTCCTTGCATTGATGGGGACAGCGTGCAGGGAGGTATGAGGAGGGAGCTTGGGACGGGAGGGTGTCTCGCAGCATCGCTGCTACATCTTGGGTTTACCCTGGTCCTCAGCCTCAGCCTCCTCCTCCTCCTCCTCCTCCTCCTCCTCCTCCTCCTCCTCCTCCTCCTCCCCCTCCTCCTCCTCCGCCTCCTCCACCTCCACCTCCTCCTCCTCCTCCTTCACCTCTGCTGCTCCCCCTCCTCCTCCTCCTCCTGCCCCTCCTCCTCCTCCTCCTCCTCCTCCTCCTCCTCCTCG